TGCTGGTTTATGGGGCAGCTGGAGAAAATTCTCGGCAAGCACAAATCCTGTATCGCGAACGGTTTCCAAATCGGAGAATTCCGGACTGTCGTACGTTTATTTCAACTGTTCAGCATCTAAGAGACCATGGAAAATTTGAGAGTGTCAATGCAGATCGAGGGAGAACAAGAACACAAAGAACATTGGCGGCCGAAGAAGAAATATTGGAAGCTGTTGAAAACCGGCCTCAATTAAGTTGTAGAAGACTAGGTCTTGAAATTGGAATGTCCTCATTTGTTGTGTGGCGGACACTTAAAGAACAAGGTTTACATCCTTATCACATCCAAAAAGTCCAGGCCTTATATCCAGGTGATGAAGAAAAGAGAGTGGAGTTTTGTGAATGGATGATTCAAAAATGTGTTGATATTCCTGATTTTCTAAAAATATTATTGTATACTGACGAGGCTTCATTCACTCGTGATGGCGTGTTCAATATGCACAATACGCATATTTGGAGTGATGAAAATCCTCACGCCATTAGGGAAACTGGGCATCAAAGAAAATTTTCAATAAATGTTTGGGCTGGCATAATAGATCAGTATTTAATCGGGCCTTATGTTCTCGCGAACAGATAAAATGGGCCAGGATATCTCCACTTTTTAGAAGATATTTTGCCAGTATTCCTAGAAGAGATACCGTTACAATTAAGGGAACGGATGTGGTACCTACTAGATGGCGCTCCTCCTCACTTTGATTTAAACGTACGGCAGTTTTTGAACATTAGATTTCCTCAAAAGTGGATAGGCAGAAATGGACCTACTAAGTGGCCTCCGAGATCTCCGGACTTAAATCCATGCGATTTCTTTTTGTGGGGTCACATGAAACAACTGGTTTATAATGAACCTATTAATAGTGTTGAACAATTAACCAATAAAGTTAATGCGGTAGCCGAGGAACTACGACAAAATCCAAGACTAATTTCTAATGTTCAAAGTTCTTTGGAAAGACGATTGCAAGTGTGTGTAAATAATAATGGACGGCATTTTGAACAATTACTGTAATAAACTTTATTTTGAATTAATTGGTTTTGCTACGGCAACAGTGCAATTTCTATGGGTAAGTTCAATTTCGATTTATTTTACTTCTTTAAATATGGAAACTAGTAGGTCGGAAAAGGGGACTCTTCCCCAATATTTAAATTTTAGAATTTGAAGTTAAAATTGGTGCCAATCGTTTTTGGTCATTACATACTATTCCCCATTTTAATATGTACGTGTATATTAATAACACCCTGTATAAGACACGAACCTTCTTTCGTAAGTTATTTTGCTCAAAACTATTTTCTCTACGTTCGCTCGCTAGGTGAATATAAGGTCAAAGCGATAAAATATAGAAACATATAAACAGCGATGTCAGTTTTTATTTAAATTCCGATATACCTTTTTTTTGTTGTTAAAATCGAAATACATTTTTATAAATAGATAAATAAATTATCATACCAAAACTTTTTTTGTTATTTTTTTTATTATTTCATTCCATTTCAGATAAATTATGCTATACATGTACCTATTGTACGATTTTTTGACCATTACCATTACCATTTTTCTACTCTACTTGTACGATCTCTTAAAAAAATATTTGGCAACACTGGTCTATCTGCAAACGACGTATATTTTTAGTTAACATCTGAGACGCTCATAAACGACGCCATCATTGCTGTGGTCGTTGCGTTTCCTATCTTTATGTCCCCAATCTCTGACCCTGAGGTTATAATCCCCTACAAATAGTTACATAAGTTGGTCATGGATTAGTTATAATGGGTACAATATTTGCCTGATGTTCCCCCTTGTTGTACTATAAGGTGCACAAGAATATAGTAAGTTTAGATATATTTACGATTGAATTGTATCTGATATTTTATATTTATCTTAGGTAGCAAGTTATGAGTGTTGAGTACCTACTACTTCCACTGTAGTATAAAATAGGAGAAAGATAGTCCTTACTTGTAGGCTGGATGGTATTTCGTCTAGTTGTCTCGCTTCCAAAACTGGATATATTTCAAGACTCTGAAATGATGTTTGATGGCTTCTGGAGGGACAAAGACTCAGAAGGCGCTGCAGATGACTTCCTCGCCTGTAGTTCTCTGATAGACAAACTGAATATCGATAAGAAATCGAGAACTCTAATTGGGTCGATATACATTCACAAAATTAATCGGGCAAGTACTTGTTATGGTGTTATCTCGACCACATTTAAAACAAAATTTTCTGCTAGGTTGATCGCAAGCCCTGAATTTATGATTTATGCTTTGACAATTCCAACATGATGGAGTTTTATTGTCGACAACACTAGAAACTCTAAAATGAACAATATTAGATTCATTAGATGTTACAGAAGCAATGGAGGTAAGATTGAGTTGACCAGGCCCTCTTTTATAGGCCAATTCTGGCTCTAATAAGGACTGATAATTCGTTGGTGGAGGTTGAAACTTTTACACTTAATTTGTGTTTCTTTAATAGAACTAACTTCATGGATCGTGAGATGAAATTGGATGTGAGGCAAAAGATTGCGTTTTACCAAATTAGTACGAGTGGTCTCGGTTAAGGGTTGACTTAACTTTCTAAACAGAGTTTCCATGACAGAAACATAACTGATCACTTTCTCCTGAGCTCCTTAAGTAATTATAATTGCTTGTCTTCATAAAAAAATAATATATATTTCTTAATTGTTTAAACTTTTATTTTGATTGTTTTTAAAGTTGCATTATTGATATTACCGTCAGCAACTGCTCTGATTTATTTAAAAAATGTCTACCAAATCTTAGGTCTTCATCTTTTATAGTTCAAATTCATTTGTAACTAAAATTAAAAGCAATTAAACTCCCACCTTAAGTATGGGTCATATATAAAAAATGGTTAAATCTATAGGACATCCTGTTTACTGGGTAAGTTTAAAATGTTGAAAGGCGTAGAAATTAATTTTGTCAATTTACTGGGTTAATTGATAAAGTTAATTAAAAACTAATTTAAGTTTAACGGCAAATAATAACCGTCTAAGTTAAATAGACGACAATGGCCTACATTCTGTAATTAAAGTGTAAGTTTTAATTTTGCGGATGGCTTTTTTTCAGTTAAATCCTTTGTTAAATTTTAATCGAAAGTTTGGATTTCTTTTATGGGATTGATAGACAAATATCTATATTTTGATTAATTAAAAGTATGTAGGCTACACGATAAAATTAAAAGGTATATCAATATCCAATCCTGAAATATATACGAGGTCTATCCGGTAAGTTTCCAACATTGAGCTGTAACTTAGAAAGTAAGAGTTTTTGTATCGTCTTGAATATTTTAAAATTTTTAACTGTTTTATCGACTAATATTTGTTTTTCAAATATTTTTAACTTTATAACTTGTAACATTGTTTTGTTTTACAATTTATTTCATCCCCCACGTTTTGATGAAACTTGTTTGTAGTATTCCCTAGTGGATGGAGAGTATGGTGAGTTTTTTCTATTTTTTACTATTTTATATATTGTGGGCTCAAAGTCAACACACCTTACACCACATATTCTCCTTTCCACTAGGCGAGCCTGAAGATGAAGTGATGTTACTTCGAAACCGGTCGCACTCAATGTTTTGTTGAATAATTAAACATTGGACTTTCCTTGTGAGATATAAAGGACTTTTTCTCCCCCCTTCACCTTAAAATTAAGAGTTTTTTCATAAGTATCCCCATCAAAAGGTATGAGCCTATTACCCCAATCATGTTTAGTATATGTACATATGTATATGAATTCTGGTTTAAAATTAATTTAGTGCCGTTTTTTTCTTGTCAAAGTTGATTAAAGTAACATTTAACAAGCACATAAATAGTTGATTGGTGCAAATATTTTACATAATAAACTGAACACAAAACATGCCGGTTTAAAAATATTAGGTTAAGCAGAGTTTACCAGGGTTGGGTCATTTGTAGCGCTGGCTTTTGTTTATTATTTTTGTAATTGAAATGTAATATTTAATTTATGTAAGATTATTAAATTAAATTGTTCTTATGTTAACTATACAGGGTTATTTTACATTATTTATCATACAGAAAGTAACTAAAGCATCTAATAAAAAATGCTTGTCATTTTTGAACACTTTATTTAAAGCCTTATTTACCAACGAACTCCAAAAGTATCTGTAAGTTCTAGATTAATAAACTATAATTATTGTCCAATAGAATTTGTGATATATATTTAATTACTGGGATTTAAAAATTTCAGTAAGCTGACATTCTCTTTCTACATATTCTTTTATAGCTTTCATAAACATTGTCATGAAAATTCTTAAAGCCTACCCTGTGTACGCACGAGGCCTTCACATGGCAACCGACTCGTGGTCGAAGCAACGCTGACGTGTGGAAACAGCCGGCCCGCGTCTCGAATATACAAGAAACGTCGAAAAGCCTGCCGCTGATGCCCTAGAAACAGCTGGAACGGCAGAAAGTGCCGCTTAGTCATAAAAAAGGAATGTTCGAGAGCCTCTCGTATCTTCGAGTAACGGAGTTGGACTAATATAAATAGCCGACGTATCAGCGCCCAGTTTAATTGAATACAGAACGTTGTATTAAATAGTTAAAGTGTAAGAAATAAATTAGAATTGCTAGTTAGTGTCTTAATATTATATAAATTAAATAATACGTCTGAAATAAATGATAAATAGTGTGTTTTTAAATAAATAAACTTTAAATAAATTAGACTTTCGTCACAATAATTACGAATATTTATTTCATTTGAATAAACATAACCTCATTCATTTGAAATTTACTAATCACACTAACGGTTCACAGTGTAATTGAATTGAAATCACGATATTGCTCAACTGTACTTTCTGAGATGCAATTGACATTTCTATCTTTTAATGATTTAAAGTTTTGTAAATATTTAAAGTAAATTTGTGAAGTGGATTATAAATATAGATCAGACTACTTTGAGATACATGGATATTAGAAATTTACATAATTTATATGTTGCTTACCGGTCTAATGCTATAGCCACCAGGTGTAAAATAGAAGCGGTGCAACATAATACATCGCTTGACGTCCACATATCACATAATTCTGGCCCCAGACCCCATTCCTGGCTCACTTCGTAAACGGCTCCCAAAGGCATCACGAGACACGCCACCAGAAGATCCGCCACGGCCAGCGATAGGATCAAGTAGTTGGCTACGTTTTGAAGGTTTCTTTCTAGCAAGATGGCAGCTATCACAAACACGTTTCCTGAAACAAGGATTAGATACATTGAGATCTGTAGGGTATCAAATGAGTTTTTTAATATACGTTAATTAAACCAATGTAAAACATAAATTGAAGGCCGATTTTGTGAATTGAAGAAAACGTTAAAATAATTAGGATCCAAGTATTTGCTATAGTGGTTACATCCTATTTAAGTATGTGGGTTACATTCGTATTAGGAATGTCAAATTCTTTTATTGTCAAGAATAATACCTCAAGAGCAGTGTTGCCAGAATATATTTTTGTAATGTACCAGATTTACTTAAAAAATGTAACAGATTTCAAAAAAATGTACTAGATTCTATAAAATTACCAGATTTTTCTAATTATGCTCATTAAAGAGCAAAAAAAGGTTTATAGAGAATACGAACACAACAATTTTAAACAAAATTTTATCTCTCGACAAATTTCTGACACTATTTTATTTCTCGAGTAGTTTTTGAACAAAATTTAAAAACCTTCTGATACTCTTTTATCTTTCGAACAGTTTTTAAATTTATTTTTATCTCTTGAGCTATTTTTAAACAATATTTTATCTCTCGATAAATTTCTAACAGTATTCTATATCTCGAGCAATTTTTAACAACTTTTTTCTATCTCTCGAGCAATGTTTGTACAATTTTTAACACTATTTAATCACTCGAGCAATTTTTAACAGCCTTTTTTACCTTTCAAGCTATTTTTGAACAATATTTGATATCTTGTTTAATTTTTGAGCAAAATTTTAACAATTTCTAACACTATTTTATCTCCTTTTGATAATATTTTATCTTTCGAACAGTTTTTAAACAAATTTCTAATAGTATTCTATCTCTCGAGCAATTTTTAACAACTTTTTATCTCTCGAGAAATGTTTGTACAAAATTTTTTGTACAATTTTTAACACTATTTAATAACTCGAGCAATTTTTAACAGCTTTTTTTACCTTTCAAGCTATTTTTGAACAATATTTGATCTGGTGCAATTTTTGAACAAAATATTAATAATTTCTGATACTATTTTATCTCTCGAGCAATTTTTATTAACATTTTTTATCTTTCTAACAATTTTTAAACATTGTTTTATCTCTCGAGAAATGTTTAACAATATTTCTTAATTATCGAGTAATTTTTGAATAAGATTTTAATAACTTATGATACTATTTTATCTCTCGAACAGTTTTTAAACCTTTTTTTTATCTCTTGAGCTATATTTAAACAATATTTTATCTTTAGATAAATTTCTAACATTATTCTATCTCTCGAGAAATTTTTAACAACTTTTTTATTTCTTTAGTAAACTGCACAATTTAAACAATGTTTAATCTCTCGAGAAATTTCTAATAGTAGGCATCTCTTGAGTCAATTTTGAATAATATTTTATTTCTCAACAAATTTTTCAATAGTATTTTATTCCTCGAGCAATTTTAAGGGTTTAACATTTTGTAATACTATTTTACCTCGAACAATTTTTGAACACGATTTTAACAATTTATAATACTATTTAATCTCTCTATAAATTATTAAATATTTTTATCTCTCATTAAATTTCTAACAGTATTTTTATCCCTAGAGCAATTTTTGAACAATATTTTACCCCTTAAGCAATTTCTAATACTATTTTATACTTCGACTAATTTTTAACACCCTTTTTTACCTCTCAAGCCATTTTTGAACAATATTTGATCTCTCGTGCAATTTTTAAACAATGTTTTATCTCTCGAGGAATGTCTACTATTTTATCTCTGAAGTAACTTGTAACAACTATTTTAATTTCTCTTGCAATTTTTGACCAATATATTTTACACTTCAAATGGAAACATACGCTGAAAAAAGTACTAGAATTTGTTTCGAGTGTACTAGAGTACCAGATTCTCAGAGAATGTACTAGAACTAGTACAATTGTACTAGACTGGCGATCATTTTGTTTGTTATAATGTTAAATAATTGGTTAAATTCAATAGGTATTGTCTGTTAGTCAAGTTTTCTTAACATTTTGAAAAATTATTTGGCTTAATAGTTGTTCGTTTTGAGTTTCTCTTTTGAAAATGAACAACTGTAAAGCAGCAGGATAAAAAAACTCATTCGTTTGAATTGGGAAAGCATTTAAATCTCGTGAGAAATTTCCATTTTGCTGCACTTGCTCCACAATAAATATACTATTCTGTATTTTTATAGATTGGGGTTGTATAAAAAGTATAATAAGTATGGCCAAACTTATTTGCATTTAGTTTAAGTAATTTAAGTCGGTGGTGTAGGTGTCTAACGCGCTAGCATTCATTTGCGAATAATTTTATGGCTTCAAATCCTACATATAATTATTAAAGATTTTTGAATAAATAAATGTTATTACCTAATTTTGATTTTCTTGGTGAAAAAATATTAGGCAGTTATATATTATACGGACTAAACGTATTTTTTCCTCTGTTCGTGAAAAATAATGCAATTTTAATACTTATCATATACTATTGTTCCAGTTTTACTAATATTCAATCTTTGTGCCCTAGATCCAACAAGCTGTCAAACCTATGTCAGCCCAGCTTTATATATATGTGCTGACATCTTTATTGATGAAGAATATGTATATTGTATTGATATGATATTCTTAACAGTAGAAGATGGAAAACTGAAATCAATATTGACATGTCCTATCTGTTTTTTACATTTAAAATTTGAATTTGGCACGTTTAGACTAAAAAAAAAATATTTTCAAATGAAAGAACTTAAAACAAGTAATTGAAACAGAGATCTGTGATGTATGAATTATATAGCTGGCATATTTTGTATATTAATTTATTAATAATAGAAGTATAGAACTGATCCCAGACAAGCTTGAAGTAAAACATGAATTAAAGGATTCTAAAATATCGGTAAAGAGCCTTTCCATCTTCTGTCCCTGCTACGATACACAGACATTGGTATGTTCTTGCGGATGTTAGCTCTATCCTTGTCACATGATATGACGCCACGTGGCATAAAAATAAAAAAAAATATTGTAACATTACTTTATTGTTAAATATTTTGGCTTCTATGAAGTGAAAGTCGAAAAGTTATTATATAAGTAGAAATACTGCACAAATTTCATGAACATTTAGTTAATTTATTATTCCAATTAAAATAAGAATAAGATATGTGATAAAGTACAATGAGTAAAGACACTTTATTTTAAAGAAATGTATCTTACATAAGTTCATAATAAAGAACCTCAGACAATAATGCACAATTTGAACGAACAAGATTCGAGTAAAACCACTGCACAACTCAGTTTCCAAAGTCGGTGCCCCTCATAACTTCAAAACTACTATACCTATCCTTTCGAAATTTTAAGCACTATTTCTGTACATAATTTACGAGGTAACGCTGGAGAGTTTTTCAAATTTATTAATATGTTTTTATTTTATAATAACAAATTAGCCTATTGTTTTTCGCAAGAATCTCGTTTATTTACTTTAAAGTGTTCCCAAAAAGTAAAAAATTGAAATTTCGAAAAACCCTCCCAGCGTTATCTGAGAAAAACGATTATCTAACGAAAGAATTTTAATTTTTTTATTTCTGATGATCCTGCACCAAGTTAGGAGGGTCACCGCAATTATACTTTTTTCCGAGACTCTTTCGAATAATTGGTGCCATTTCCGTATTTTCTACATGAAAATTTGACAAAATATTTTTTGAATGTTATACTTTAATGTACCATTAGTTTAAATAATTAGATTTAAATAGTGTCGTCAAAAAAAATTCACAAAAATGTACCTTTTTTTTGCACGAAATAACCTTAAAATCTTCAAATAGATGCTTCAAAAAGAACAGCACACCGGTGTTTGTATATCGTGGTCTCTGCTCTACATAAGCTACAGTATCAAAGAATGGGGCAACTTGAAATCGTGTGGGGACTTGAAATAAAATGCAGTGAAAATTTTGAAGTAGTGACAACGCCGTATATGTACGAAGGAAGCTAAACTACTCTTTCAGTATCATTCTACAGGTTGTCGGCGAGACATTGTGGTAAATAACAAGTGCATGAAAGTCATAGTGTACAGTGGGTAAACTCTTTGATATTAGGTAAACAAATTATGTAATTTGTATAATTACGAGTATGCCCTAGTATTTTTGTCTGGCCTGATAAAAGATATTTGTCAATGTTTTGCACCGAAAATAATTTTTAAAACCTACTGTTAAACAGTGGCGTATCAGTTTTTTTACTTTTAGGGGTGATTTGAAATAATGCATAGAAGTTCTTCCAGAATCTGAAACATAAGAAGAAGATTGGGACTAATTTGTGAGGAGTAAGCGTCCCAGGTCAAGACGATTCAGTGATAACACCTCAGACGATAAATCGGTTTTATTTAAAAGTGACAAGGAGAATAGTCCTCTTCCAGATACCAACACTATAGCCATTGCTGGACCAGGAGATGAAAATGAAGAAACCAAAGAGATGGACCAAGATGAACTAGAAAACTGGTCAAGTGACTACCAGGAGAACAAATTTATTCTAGTCAAACTGAAATCAGCAAAGAATATCTCCAAGAAGTTTGTAGCAAAAATCGTTGCTAATGATTCCTTTGTCGTTTCATATTTAGGAACATATTCTAAACTAGAATGTACATATATTTTTCCTCTAGTACAGGAAGAATCACTGGTCGATGAAAGATAAATTATAAGGAACCTTCACTCTCCAACAATATTTAGAAGAGAGTCATTGAAGTTCCCAGGACTTCAGTTATAAGTGTCTAGTTACCGTACTTATCTCTCTAAATTGCATTTGTAAGTGTCTAGTTATACCTTACTTACCTCTCTAACGAATTTTTGTTTATTGAAAATGTGTAGTTTTTATCTTTTTTGTATTTTTCTAAGAATTTTATGTGTTTTTACAATAAATCTACTTTAAAGAGAATATTTGTTCTAAAATGATGATTTCTATCTCTTTTGTATTTAATTTTCATTTTATGTCACCATCTAGATCTTCCTACTTGAATTAGTTGCTGATAAGACTTTTTTTTCTCAAAAATA